GAGCATTACATCAAATTTCAGTTGCTTGATTAATAATTAGAGCATGCGAGTATTTGAGAGCTAGGTAATTTTAGGATCCGTTCTGCCTAATGCTCTCATGTCCAAATTTAGATAGTGAGAAGGTAAACAATCTCTCCAGTGTTACCTTTTTCCACCTTTGATGATGGGAATATTCAAACTGAGATCATTTTGATAACAAATTAGCTTTGTAATACTCAATCCCCAAATGATATTTATTCTCACTTATTGATTATTGGAAAATCTCAACATAATAAATTGTATTTTTAAAAATTCAGCATCAGTACTGGAATAGTATTTTGATATCTTACCAGATTTTATAGTCACTAAACTGACAGGATAGAGTTTTTTATTGAGGTACAGTTGATTTATAATATGTTAATTATTGTTGCACAGCAAGGTGATTCAGTAATATATCTATCTATATAATTATATATATAATTATTTTTTAAATATTCTCTTCCATTATAGTTTATCATGGGATATTGAATATAGTTCTCTGTGCTATATAGTAGGACCTTGTTGTCATCCATTCTTTATATAAAAGCTTGGGCTTCCCTGGTGGCTCAGTGGTAAAGAATCTGCCTGCCAATGCAGGAGACGTAGATTTGATCCCTGGTCCAGGAAGATTCCCTGAAGAAGGAAGTGTCAACACACTCCAGTATTTTTGCCTGGGAAATCTCATGGACAGAGGAACCTAGTGAGCAGGAGTCCATGTGGTTGCAGAGTTGGATACCTCTTAGTGACTAAACAGCAGCAATATAAAAGCTTCTATCTGCTAACCCCAACCTTCCACTCCATCTCGCCCCCAACCCCCTACCCCTTGGCAACCACCAGTGTGACTGGACAGATTTCTACTGTGAACAGCAAATGTTAAGTAAAACATTAAAAATGGGCTATCTTTCATTTGCCAACAGATATGCCTCAGGCCTAAGAGAAATAGCTATTTGGGAAGAATTTATAAAAAATACAGCACAATGGGAGGGGAGCCTCTAGGTGTACAAGCTGTTCATGAGCGGTCTAATGCCTCCTTCTATTTAGATCCTGTTCCTGTTCTTGCTCTTGCACTCAAACTTCATGAAAAAGGGATCTAGCATTTGGTTATCCAAAGCCCCTGCTTCCTCATTTCCATCTCTGTATAATAAAGTAAGCTCACTGCATATGCAAATTGCATATGTCTCTTCCCTCAGAATAGGGCTTAAAATTGTTTGAATTCCAGAGTGCAAAGTCATAAGCAGGGGATAATGGCGGAATTGGGAAGAGAAAGAGGAAAAGGTTTAGCTTTACAATTCTTGGTCTGGTGGGAATATTTTTGAAAATGTAGGTGCTATTTCCTGCAATCAAGAGCTTTGCAGGGCTTGATAATCATTTCCCAGCTGTATCCCTTGCTGAATTGTTTCTAGTTGTGGGCACTCCATGGCTGTTTTTTCCCCATTTATGATGGAAGAGGATCATATCCATCTTGCTGATAGAGAGCTGGGGATTTAATTCCCACAGCTTCTCCTCTCTTCCTCTTCACCTTGAAAAAGTTTAGCTTTGTGCTAAGGTGTGAAAAAAAAAAAAAGAAAAAGTCTTGACTGTAGTATGTCAGGCATATTTCAGCTCGATTTGTGTCAACCCTAATAAGTAAGTTGACAGAATAATAAATTGAGTGCCTGCTCAAGACCTGGCACCTGTACAGGAAATAAAGAAACATTTCAATTGCAGGCAGGTTCTTTTTGTTTTACAAATGGAAGTTTTCCAGGGCTCCCCCATTCCTTTTATTGAAATCTTGGTATCTGAAAGCCTATTTCAACTGTCACTGGAAAACTTGACAAGAAAGACAGCAACTTTGAAAAGAGATCCTGAACTGGTGGGACACTGATGAGGCAGGTGGCTGTATTTGCCCTCTTCACTGATGTGTTTTCCCTTTTTTTGTGCTGTGCCTGACACCCAGTAGATTCTTGATGCAAATTCATTGAAAGATTGAACGAATTCATGAGTTGACCTGCTTTGACACTATGTACTAAAACAAACATCAAAAGACTGCAGATCATTTCAACTTTCCGTTGCATTTTCTGAGTCTTAATTTTTTTCTTTCTGGATCAGTCTTTTGTATTTAGGGTTATCAGCTGGGATGCTTTTGTCCCAGGAGACAGTTGGACAGTTTGTTGTCACAACAGAAGTGGAGGACTGCGCTGCTGGTATGCAGTCAGTAGAGGCTGGGGATGGTGCTAACCCTCCTATAATGCACAGGACCGACCCCCACAACAAAGAATTATCTGGCCCCAAAGGCAACAGTGTCAAACTTTAGAATCTCTGAGAAAACTTAAGTTAGACCATTTAAAATTCATATTATTCACCATTTTTTTACCTAGAACTTGAATTTTATTTGGCCAGTCCTCTACCACTGAGTCCTAAGGAGCAATGTTAAGTTTCGTTAATTTGGGTAATTGTTTTCACAAGACAGACCCCTACAACTGAGAATTATCTTGTCCGAATGTCAGTAATGAATGACACTGTTCGTAAGTCATAGTCTAGATATGAGTTACCAACCAAGCTAACTCACTTTACAATAAAATTTGTTCTACCCACCCCGCTACCATGATCATTGTTCAGATGGTAAACAGTCTGCCTGCCATGGAGGAGACCATGGGTTCAATCCCTGGATTGGGAAGATCCACTGGAGAATGGAATGGTGGCCCACTCCAGTATTCTTGCCTGCAGAATTTCATGGACAGAGGAGCCTGGAGGGCTACAGTCCATGGGGTCACAAGGAGTTGGACACAATGAGCGACTAACATTTCACCCTGATCAATAACCTGAATGGCAAACTGGAAGACACATTTCAAATTTCAAGTTCATGAATTCCGCAGAGTCCTAGAACAGGCTGAGAGCCCCTGGCCCATTGTCTGTCCTGTCCCATGAGGGACTTCGCATACCTATGTGTGGATACCCAGATTGCTCATCCCATCTCTGTCTACATGTCCAAAAAAGCCACTTTTATCTACCTTGTCATATTGAAGACTTTTCCACACCCACAGGTGGGCCCTCTGGAGGTCTGGACCAGGAAAGCGACTCAAGCAGGTCCTGAAAGCAGGTTGAAGGCCACCTGTCAGGGGGTTCTGGAGTGTCCAGGGCTTGGACTGAGTTGTGACAGGAGTGCTAGGTAGGCATCCCACTTGGGTCAAGGACTCACACGTAAGGACAAAATGGCTCTTTCCAATCATATAATTGTTGGAGGAGGTCATGGAGAGGATGTGACACCAGTTGACTAATAAGCTGAACCTTTCTTACCCTTCCCCTCTCTTCTACACTCTTCCCTGTCTGTGGAATGTAAGTTCCACCCACAATCCCATGCTATTAGCAGCTGTTTCAAGGATGAATCCTTGGGAGAGTAAGGTGTTGTTGAGGCCATCTCAACTGAATAAATGAATGAACCCAGTGAGGACCTTTCTGGAAACTCTTTAAGATTCTGGAAGGAGAGTATGGAGATTTGTGTCCTGTAGCCACTGGACAAACCAGCTCTGAGTTCCTTTGTTTATAAAAACTGCCATGTCCCAATCTAGTGTTCTGTCTCATTCTTTAGTCTCTTCTTACTCTCCCTGTGTGACCACCAATTTATAAACTGAGAATAATCTTAAATTGAAAATTGAGCTTTAAAAGCTGATGATGCATAATCCTTTTTGAAAGTATAGGCGTTTGTCATTTCTATTGGTTATTTGTATTAGTGCCATTGGGAAGAGGCCTAGTGTTTTGTGTTACTAATTAAATAATAATTTGAAGAATTCAAAATATGGGGCTATTTAAAAAAAAAATCACAGTTTTACCGATAAATCACAGTTAAAATCATATCATAATTGAAGTCAAAAGTAGATTAAAAGTAAATACCTGGGTTTCCAGCAAACCCAGTAACATGCTAATTCATAGAGGCTCACTGTGTAAAGGGAAATATTAGTAAAAGAATGAATATAAAGAGAAAACTAAAGATCTGCTTCTTTGACCTTTATTTAAAATTAGTATATTTAAGAACTTCCTCAGTTCATGGTTTGTAAATAAATCTTTATTAGATAGTATCATTCATTTTATATATGAATGATAAATGTAAGTGAAAAAGTCAGTTCAGTGTTATCTGTCAAAGTGATAAAAGGAATGATTAGCTTGAGTCTGATCTTAAATTTGCTCATAGAAAACTTAAAAGGAAAAATACTCTGCTTTATAAAATTGAAGTATACTATGTATGTTTTTGAAAGTTCTTGAAATAGAATTTGCAGAAGCTTGGTAGAATAGGTGGTAAGAGATACTTTATATGGGTTTTAGAAACATTTGTTTACTTCTAGGGAAAGTATTGATCTATAGTTTGTTATTACAAGAAATATTGGAATGCTGTGAGGATCCAGTTTGAGATGCTAATGAAAATATCTAAAAAGCTTTAAGTGTGTGTGTGTGTGTGTGAAAGAGGAAGGAAAGATTAGAGAGGAAGAGAGGACGGAGTTAGGCAGAAGCAACTTAAACTTTTTGGATTAAGACATGTTAAATTAGTAGGCATTTTGCAGTCCTCTTTAAAAACATGCTGCTTATAATTTTTTACTTTTTACATTTCCTTTAAAAAGCACCCTTCTTGTGTTCTTTATTAAGATTTAGAAATGACAATCACAGCAAATAGTCATAGTTTTGTCATATTTATGTTATGTGGGTTCTGCGAAAAGTATTTTTAAGAGACACATAAAAAGAATGTCCTGCTTAGTTCCATGAAATAGAGAAATAGTTGGCATCCATGATGCCTGTGAAACAAAAGGAAACATGGTATGAATCACTTGGATACCAAGGGAACTGAGCCTCTTCAAAAGCATGATAGAACAGTAAGAAACCAAGAAGAAGAGGGAAAGGATTTTATTTTTACATGGGAACAAAGTCACTTTTGTATATAATCTAAAGTGTTTTAGCATAAGTTAACCTCTAAAATATAGTATAATCATTACTGATAGATTTTATCTTTCCAGGTTGTTTTACAGGAGCATTGAGCTAACTAGTTATGTTTATATCTGGGAGAACTACAGACTCATTAGTCTGCCTTGGGATTCTCCATGGACTTGGTATTTAACTTTCTTGGGAGTTGACTTTGGTTACTACTGGTTTCATCGTATGGCTCATGGTAAGTTCCAAACCAAGGCTTTATTGATACTGAACTTACGTTAAACTGTGTTTGCCACGTAGTTGGTATTCAGTAAGTATTTATTGAATGAACAACTAAATGAATAACTTAATTTATTTACAGTATCTAAAGATTAACAATGAAAATTTATTTTGCATTTTAAACGGAAACAATCTGAAGTCATTGTTGAAAAAATGTGAAATTACTAGAGGTATATATATCACACTTCTTGTATCTATTATATTTTTGTTAAACTCTTTAGAAAGTCCTGGCTGTTGCATCACTTCACATCCCAATTATCTAGGGTCATTCAGAAGAGCTTTGTAACAGCGTGGAATCCTAGGTAACGTGCTGTCATGTAAGCTTGATTCAAGTTCTTGGCTGTATTGCCATGTTACAAATGAAAATGCAATCAGCTAAGGCACTAGCCATAATGCACTTGAGTGTGACCGCGGCTTTGCACAATTTCTCATCTGGTATAAAACCTTTATATTGTACTGGTTCATTAAGTTTGCTTGTGAGGATTCTTGGCTGCACTTTCCGAAGAAATGTTTTGTTATGGAAAGGAATATGGAGGAGCAAGGAGCTGTCTAAATCTCTTGGAATAAGCCGGGGTTGAAGAATGATTGTAGAGGTAAGGTGAGCTAGTGGTCTGTAAGGAGGAAGGAGGCATGCAAAAGTATTTCTGCAAGGAAATGGAGCAACGTGCTAATTTGGGGAAACTACTGAGGAATTGAACTCAGGATTTCAGTGGGTAGTTGGGTTGAGTGGGTGGGGAGGAAGGAAGGAAGAGGAAGAAACCTGGAATAATAATACAAAATAGACGGGGGATGGAAAGAAGAGCCCTGGAGATCAGAGTGAATACTGAGCTATGTGTGTGGGAGTATGTGTGACCAAATGTCCTTGCCAAGCAAGGATGAAGGAAATAGGAGCAGTGCAGACAGCATTAGGCTAAAGGCAGCTAAACTTTAAACACGGTGTTATTTTGTTAAGCACTTTAAAGGTGACATTTAATGACACTGTAAGGAGTGTTAATTCTGTAAAACAATTTGGAGTGAATGGATAAACTAGAAAAAGTTGTTTGTTTTCTGTGTGATAACCTTTGCCTTTGAAAATAATAGATCATCTCCTGACATCATTTCCTTGTATATAAATGAAAGAGGATACTCCCAAATTGAACATGATTAAGAATAAAATAGGGTCTATGCAGTAAACTTTGTATTTCATTTCAAAACAGTAGTTTTCTCCCTGAAGCAAACCCATTGGCAATTTCCCTCACTTTCTGTTGTAGCAAATGGGTAATGCAGAAAGCATTTACATTGTATTAGTTAATTTCAGGAACTTTCTAATATCACACTGTCCTGCACAGATGTGTTTGTTTGGAAAATCTGCAAATTCGCTTAATCTTTGAAAGTCCATTATAACAGAAAACAAAGAACCAACAAAATATAGCCAAATATAAAATGTTTAAAAATATGTTGATTGTAAGTGCTCTCAGGGAAGAGCAATAAAATAAAATAATATGTTAAAAACGTGGAATCAAAGTTGTTTGCTTCCCATTGGAAAATTTTGAATCAAATCCAGTAAAGGCAGCCATTACAAAAATCTGAAACCTTCTGGAAAAACACTCACCACTTTTAGGCCATGAAGCTTAATCATAAGTTCAAAGACTTTTGACTTGTGATGGAAAGCTAGCTGGAAAAAAAATAAACTGTGTCGTTAAATGTGTCAAATTTCAATGTAACAATCAATTTTTAAATTTTATATGATAATGCAAAATATTAAAATGGGGTTTTAGAAATCTAGACATCCAGAGTGACAAGAAAAGCCAATAATATCAAATTTTTTGAGTCTATTGGATTACTGAGCAATTAATTGGTTAAATTTATTCAGCTGAAAAGTTGAACAGTTCTAAAATCTAAATATTGTCTTAAAATATTTTTTAAGACCCTGCCTTCTCTACTTAATGTGTTACTTCCCCTTCACTGTTTGCTAAAAAATGATATAATAAAAGTATACTCCACATTTGCTGAATGTTAAATGCTATGACTTTTGAAGAAACAGTCTACTATGTATTTAAAATTCTGTTTTTGCATGCATTTAAATCACTTCTTTAATAACCTGCATTATTACTAGGTGGTGGTTGTTGTTGCTCTTTTACTAGTTTGTTTTGCATGCATGTAGAATTTTCGTACGTTAAAGAGACAGCTTCCTTCACTCGTAGCTCAGCTGGTAAAGAATCCACCTACCACACAGGAGACCCTGATTTGATTCCTGGGTCAGGAAGATCCTCTGGAGAAGGGATAGGCTACCCACTCCAGTATTATTGGGCTCGCCTGGTGACTCAGATGATAAAGAATCTGCCTGCAATGGGACAGACCTGGGTTTGATCCCGGGGTTGGGAAAATCCCCTGGAGAAGGGAACAGGCTACCCACTGCAGTATTCTTGCCTATAGAATTCCATGCACCAGTGAGCCTGACAGGCTACAGTCCATGGGGTTGCAAAGAAATGGACAGTGAATGAGTGACTTTCACTTTTTGTATTTGTAGAAAAGTTTAGAAAACCTTGAATTCTATCTCTGTCTCTATGAAAAATGGCAGAGGATTATTTGAGGCTATATGTATTCTTTATATGTCATTCCCTTTTCCCCTGGAAAAAATGAGAAAGAAATTGATAAATTATCAATTTGCACAGAAACAAGAGTAATGCAGTAATTATCCTACAGTGCTGTGACTACTTTAGAAAGATGGAATGATAACATTAAGTAGGTCTCAAAGTAACTTCTTGCATGCTTAGTCTCCATTACAAAAAGCTACATTATTTTTTTTTTTTGTACTTCCTATTAGTTGTACTAAACATGTAATAAGAAAGAGAGTAAAGATTTTTAAGGGAACTTTTAAAATATAAATGATTATTTCTTGAGGGGCAGCCAGAATGAGTTTTCCAGGGTGCTGGCTGCCCCTCAAGAAATAGACTTGTCTTGAGTGTGATAATAGACTTGTAGTTATATGAGTGTATATACTTGTAAAAATTTATCAGTTTGTACATTTAAAGTTTATGTACTTTATCTCTGGGCTTCCCTGATAGCTCAGTTGATAAAGAATCTGCCTGCAATGCAGGACACCGTTGTTTGATTCCTGGGTTGGGAAGATCCCCTGGAGAAGGGAAAGTTATGCACTTCAGTATTCTGGCCTGGAGAATTCCATGGATTGTATAGACTGTATAGATAATAGACTTGTAGTTTTATATGCGTGTATATACTTGTAAAAATTTATTAATTTGTACATTTAAAGTTCATGTACTTTATATATACCTCAATAAAATGTTAAGCTAGTAAATTATGCCATCAATGTACTTTCTGCTGAATAGTCAGAATGATACAATGAGTAACCAAATTTAAAAATAGGAACCAAGAAGTTATCATTTGTGACGGTAAGCATAGACATGTGACCTTACACAGATTTGACTGCATCAGTTTCCGTAACTAAAGATGGTGCAAGTACCAGCTTGCCAATCATTCATTGTATTGCCTCTCTTCCCCACATTCTTCTTTGCTATTTCTTGTCTTATCAGAGGTGGGCCTGAGAGATGTTCCTCTTTTGCGAGTGACTTGCTGTTAGGTTCTGCCAATTCAAAGGTCTGGTAGGACACAGCAAAGGCAGAGCAGGAGGAAGGGACTTTGTTTTGTTTTCTGAAGTGCTGTTTTCTACCAGGCGTTAACGGATTAGTATGTGGGGAACCTGACGGTGCTCATCTCGCGGTTAATGTAGCCTGCAGCATCTGATGGACCCTCTGCCCTCTAGGTGGCCAGTGGACTGTGTGTGTCCCACACCCTCTGGGGTCTACACACTCTCGCAATCTCTGTGTTCCCAGTAGAGTTCCTATGGGAGCACAACCTGTACAGAGATGCAGACGCTTAGGCTTGGTGTTGGTCATGGTAAGGGGCTCTTTGAAACTTGTATTTGCCTCATTCACTGTCCTTAAGATCTATGGGTAATAGTTGTGTTGTACAGATTCTACTTCTGTACTACTGACTTAAACCTTGCTTAACTCTTTTAGTTAACTACCGTTTTACTAGTTAATAATTCACCGTATTAGCTTTACTTATTACAATGATTGTATGGTTTTTGTTTCCTGATTGGGCCCTGACTGATGCAGTGAGCCTTCCCACATATTGTATAGGGTTATAAATTAGAGTTCAGCTGGCTATAACCTTTACTGTTTCCTTTTGAGGCATTGATCATACACTTAGACTGTAACACTTGAGCCCAGTTCTGAAATATAAGACATTGACATATAAAATTGTTATAAAAAGAAAACTATACAATTTTCCTCAAATTCTAGTTCTTTTACTCAACAAGTAAGCTGCTTTTACTTTTACTCAACAAGTAAACTACTTAATTCTTTTTCTATTTATTTATTCCTTTATCTAAAAAAGGTGAGTGTTCATAATTTTTGTGTAATTAAGCTTTTATTCCCACAAGTTTATTGTCTCTCAGTGAGCATTTGTATAAAATTAATTAAACTTTTCATTCCTAATTGAATTTTAAGGGGGTTAAATTTAGATAATTCTAATTTTCATTATTGTTTAAACAAAGAATAAACAGATACATTGATCAGAATTTTTTTTTTTTTTTTGGCTGGGAGATAGTGCCAGAAATGTAGTCTATATTGAAAAATTGGTTACTTAAGCATTCTTGTCTTTCTATTTTTTTAGCTCCCAGTATTTTTGTAACTCTTTGCCACATATTATGCCTCACTTAAAAAAAAAATGTGGCTGTATTTTTATTGAATCACTGAGGTGAAGTCCACTCTGTATTTGCCTTGTTTATTGCTATTCCTCTCGCTTTTCCCCCAATGATTTCTCACCTTCTCTCAGCTCTTGGAGGAGTCATCCTTCAGAGTATGTATAAAGGAAGCTTTGGAATTCCCATCACCATGCCTATGACCTCCAATTTCTCATCATTACTTTCTGATAAGGAGCCTGACACCTATGCCA